GCACGAGGCTGGCGAACGTCTCCACCCCGATGAAGCCGGTGTTTTCGGGGTCGAGCTGTGAGGCACGGCACGGGGCATCACCGGGATGCCGGGCCTGCGGCTCCCTGATTGGTCGGGGAGACCTTCCGGTGCCCCTCACCCCGGCCTCAAGCCTGGTGGCATCATTTGCCACTCCATAACACCAGCCCCTGCCTCTGCGAGGGAGGCTACAACCTGCGCCCACCCTGTACCCCGCACCGTGTGGGTGCCCCGTGCCGTGCGGGTGTCCCGTGCTGTGCTGGCGTCCCCGTCTCCCCGTGGCGCAGCCAACACTCTCCCACTCAGTTATTTCTCGCCGCCAGCAGCCTGCCAGCCAGGAAGCCACGAAGCTAAACACACGCGCAGCCCTGGCACCAGTCTCCTCCTCCTCCTCCTGCCGCTCCTCCCGCATGCCCTCGCTGCCGGCCGCTGGGCTCCGTCACGCCGGGCACCTTGTGCAGGGGCACCCTGCACCATCCCCGGGGCACCCTGAGCCCTCCAGGCACCCCGCACCATCGGGCACCCAGCACCATGGGGTATCCGACATGGTCCCGCTCGTGGAGACGAGGAGCCCGGGGTGGCATGAGGATGATGGAGATGGGGAGAGGGCACCGATGGCCGGAGCACAGCTCGAGCCCTGCTGAGGGTGGCCGGGACCCCGCGCCCCGCAGAATTACCCTGCAAATAGCATTGGGTTTGCTCCTTTCTTGGTCAGGGAATGAAATGCAGAAGAGGAAACTCGTCCTCATGGGACAGGCAGGAGAAGGCGTGCTAGGGGTATGGGATCGTACCCCCACCCCGGTGTGCACCCCGTCCCTCCGGCCCCAGCCAGGGAACAGCCAAAGCTGCTTTCCCAAGGGGGGTCCGGCTGCCTGGAGTCCCTGCCTGAGGTGGGCACGGGTGCAGGGTGCGGGCTGCAGGGTGCGGGCAGTGCTTGCAGCCTCGCAGCAGCTGCCAGCCCACGGGAGCAGCCCCAGCCATCGGGGTGCAGGAGCACCCCGGTGCCACCCATCCCCTGCACCCCACAAGCAGCACACGCCGCCCCACAGACGCCACGTGCCTGTGCCACGCCGGAACCTGGCACATGTTGTCCCCACATGCCGGCGCACGCCAAGCTCACCGGCCCCCGGAGAGCCCCGGCAGTGGCCAGAAGACCCTCTCCACTTTGGGGGTGCATCTCCCCCCACTCCAGCCCCACTGGCCCCCCCGCAGCCCCCCGGAGGGGGGGGGGGGGGGGGGCCCACGCC